AGAGAGAGAGAGAGAGACGGACAGAGCTCATTGGCCTGGCCACATTCAAGAGGATTCTGTAGATCGTCTTCCCTTTTTTTCATCATGCCGTCTGGGCCCCTTGGGAATATCCTACCGTGAACGGTTTAGGGTTTAGGGTTAGGGTCTAGAAATTAAAACTTCAGTGCCCGCAAACCCAAACCCTAAACCTCCCACCCTTGTCCCAGGCAATGGGACGAAGGTGCTCTTTGCATGCCAGGCGGCGGAGTTTGACCAAAGCAGCTCACAAGGCAGCACATGCTCCCAGTGGGCGTCCGTGAGCCCAGAGGAGGGTTCGTCACAGACGTCAGGGTGCGGGCTTCGGGTTGAGGGTCCCTAAACCCTAAACCCTGAACCCTAAACCCTAAACCTTAGGCTTCTTGCTCAGGATGTAGGATTTGGAGTCTCGGGTTTTGGGATGGGGGTTCAATTGGGGCCATGGGGTGTAAGTCGGGTTTAGGGTTTAGGGTTCAGGGTGCAGGGTTTAGGGTTTAGGGTGTAGGGTTTAGGGTTTAGGGTAGAAGCCAGAAAGTTGAAACAGAGCTATGAGTCAGTTCCCAGAACCTATAAAAAAGGAAGCCGAAATCAATCACTTCCAATATCCCTGCTTAGGGCTCCTGATTATAAGTATAGTATAATATACCTCGAAACCATGTTCCAGCCCTCCAAGCCCATGCATTACCCCTGCACCGGCAACCCTAATCCCCAAACATCCCCAAACCCTAAACCCTAAACCCTAAACCCTAATCCCCAAACATCCCCAAACCCTCGACCCAAGTTCTTGAGGCAAAGTCCTCAAACTTAGAGGCTGCCGGTGTCGGGAAGAAAATTTCCGGGCCGGAACAAGTAGTAATTCGACTCTTTAGGGTTTCGGGTTTAGAGGTTCAGTAATACTATTCCTTAGGGTTCCTTATTGTGTCGAAGCCTCATTCTGATTTTGGTTGTTGGGCTATTTAGTAAACCTCAGGGGCACCTTTTCGGAAGAGGTTGGATTCCGATTCGCCATTTGACTGGATTGTCTCCAGGACTTGTCAAAAATCTACACAGCCGCTACGACCTTGATGATGCTTGGCTGAGCTCTGCGCCTTGTTGTAAAGGCCGCGCTGTGCAATCCCTAAACCCTGAACCCTGGAGGAACGCTAGCTAGAAAGGCATGAGGGCCCAACAACTGCGAAGAGGAGACTAGGAGTTATACATAGTGACAGCTCCCCCCGGACCGCTGGTTCAGCGGTTTAATGTTCAGGGTTTAGAACCGGTTTGGTGATCCTGTTTTGTGCTTGTTTTCAGTTGTTTGCCCGCTCGGCATGTGACGGTTACCCCTGTCCGCGCTTTCAAGACTTCCCCTGACTTTAGGGTTTAGGAGTTTAGGGTTTAGGGTTTAAAAAGGTTTAGGGTTTGGGGAGTGATTTAGTAGGGTTTGGGGAGTGATTTAGAGCAGAATGCAAGTTCTGCGCGAGGCCTTAAAGATCGATCTGAACAAGTAGGTTGAAAGTTTTTGGACATGCAGATGCCAGGATCGAGAAGATCTGCCCGGTTCTGATGAACAGCTCGATGTCCGTGAGCCCATCTGTGGCCAAGCCCACGAATGTAAATGGAATGACGCTGAAGGCTTCCCGCCGGTTGAAAGTGGAAATCTGCGAAACCTTGCGGTAACCCTTCACAGTACATATTTAGTTATATTATATGACACGACGTTGTACGAGATTATACTATATGATACTACATTTACTGCATTACAACATGCTACTATACTATGCGAAATCATACTACCCTCCATGAGGATCACGGATTGCCGATACCATCAACCTTGATGCCTTGTGGTGATTGCTACCCGGAAGGTCCTTGCAGCGATCTTGCGCAACGCCCCCTACAAGACGCTTCCATTTGGGGATGCGCGGGGCTGGCCCTTCTTCTACAAGGGCTCCAGTGGTGAGAGGCCGGAGTACGACTAAAGGGTTTGGGTTTAGGGTTTAGGGTTTTAAGATTTAGGGTTTAGGGTTTAGGGTTTAGGGCGTAGGGTTTAGGGTTTAGGGTTTAGGGCTCATTGCAACCTAGTGTCGTGTAGTAGTGTCATAGACGTCATCGCCCCCCACAGGGTTTAGGGCTTAGGGTTTCTGAAGCGAACAAGATCCCATCTTTGATATGGTCACGGAGCTTTCTCCATCTGTTTGAAAAGGGTCGCAGGCGTTCTGGTCTTTGCACAGGTCCCGCCTAACCTGGTTAACCTGCACCCTAAACCCTAAACCCTAAACCCTAAACCCTAAACCCTAAACCCTAAACCGCAGGGCTCAGTCCATGGGGTACCTCAGCGTCGCAGCCAGCGGGGATGCCCGAGGCTCAGATACACAGCTGCTAGAATGCTGCCGGTTTAGGGTTTAGGGTTTAGGGTTTAGGGGCCCAGGGGACTTAGTAAGTAGGCTATAAGTAGAGTTATAAGTACCCTACCTAGAGTTACCCCAAGTAGAACCCTACTTACAACCGACTTACTAAGTTCCCTGGGCCTCCAAGTAAACCTCTGAAATACTCACGCCGCCATGTCTGGCTTTCGGCTTTGGGTTTGGGTTTAGGGTTTAGGGTTTAGGGTTTAGGGTTTAGCTTCGGCGGTCCGTTGCTGCGACTAGGGGAGCATGTTCAGGACCATAGCTGAGCCTTTGCGTTTGGGGCAAAACGCTCTCAACCCCTCAACCTTCGCACCTGTGAGACGTCTGCCTTGCAAACCCTAAGCCCTAAACCCTAAAGCTCATAAAGCCCAGCAGGAGGCGCAATGACCGCCACCCAAACCTGAGTCTAGGGTTTAGGGAATTGCTGCCAGGGCTTTGACGTCCAAATGCCTGTTCTAAGGCTTTTTGGGGCGTCACCTGCCCACCAGGAGCTGTGGTGGTCTCGGAGGAGCTGGTAGACAAAATTACCAACACTATTCCTTCGGGTTCCCAATTATTACTATACAATTTTTCCCCCAAGCCCTATTCTTTTTTTTTAAGGACCCTGCATTGCGGACTGGGTAGTCTGCCTGATCCCGGGTGTAAGCACGTGGTTTGCTCGGAATCTTTTCTGTGCCTAAGCCCCTAAACCCTAAACCCTAAACCCTAAACCCTAAACCCTAAACCCAAGCTTTTGCCGGTCCCACTTGGCGGACATGTGAGGAGAAGACGCTGCCCCACTGCCTGGACATCCATGCTTCGGATTCACAGGAGAAGCTTCGCGTCGGGTAGTTCGCCGTTACACCATGAAAGCCATCGCCGAAGCCAGCAGAATCCGCTCACCCTAAACCCTAAACCCTAAACCCCTGAACCCTAAACCCTAAACCCTAAACCCTAAACCCCTAAACCCTAAACCCTAAACCCCTAAACCCCTAAAACTGGTAAACCCCGCAACCCTAAACCCTAAACCCTGAACCCCTAAACCCCTAAACCCTAAACCCTAAAGTTGGAGACCAAGACCTCCCAAAAGAAACCCCAGGCACTAAACCTTAAAGGCCACCCTGGCAACCCAGACCCCCGGAAGGATCCAAAAAGTAGATATCCCTTAAGGGGGTTCCTATAAAGTACCCTTTAGTAGCTAGGGTCCCAAATTAGGGGATCTACTTTTTAGATCTTCCCAGGGGTCTGGCAAGACACCCTGAGGAGGTCCTGTCAGCCTACTCGGGGTCAGCAACGTGTCCTTCTGGCTATGCCATCAGCGGATGGTACAACCTGCCTGGCATCAAGGTGGCTGGGTGTGCAAGTTTCATGAGCTGCAGCTTCTGTATTGCGCAGGCCTAGTGGCAGTGCTATCTTGTGCATTCCCGGCAGTTGCGAAAAGTTGTGCGATGTACACTAGTAGTACGCTTGTGCTCGACCCCGGGAACATCTGAGAGTGCCTCGCTGCTGAGAGCACCCATCCCAAGTCCCAACATGCGGTTAGGGTTTAGGGTTTAGGGTTTAGGGTTTAGGGCACGCTTCAGGTGAGGGGCAACCAGCTTACTGGAGGTCCGCAAAATTGGTCGCTGGGTTGCACCCGGCTCTGGAAGAGCTAAACCCTAAACCCCCCAACCCCCCCGGCACAGGTTCACTTGTTCGGGTGTGTACGTGTAGATTTTTTCTCAGGCTTTCGTGTTTGCAAGTACTCGGAAGAAACTTTTGTTGGTGAGGTTTTTGGCTAGTACGTGTTCTGATATTTCGTGTGTGGTGATTACGCTCACAATGACTAAGTGCTGCCCTGAGTCTTGCTAGTGGTGCTGCGATACTACTGCTGCGGTTGTGTGCTGCCCTGAGTCTTGCTACTGCTGCTGCGATTGCAATTACGATGGTGTGTGGTAGGTGCGTGGTTGATGTTTTGTGACATTTCGGGTCGTCTGCGACGGGGTAGGATGGGATATGGCCGGCGCATACAAGAAAGCCTCTGCCAGGTGTCGCTTCGTTCGTTGAAGGTCCGTCGTGTTGCAGTTTCGGGTGCGAGGCTTCTAACTTGGAGGTTGTGCAGACTTGAAGGTTTGGCTTGTGCATTCCAGATGTTTTTATTGAGAAACAAGCGTTATTAAACTCTTCCCATCACACCACCCCACCCTGGTGTACTCAAGACGTGCTTATGGTGAAACCGAACGTTATTAAAGCCCCCTCTCCCACCGCCCGGCGACCTAACCTTCCACCCGAAAGTCCCGAAAGAGCAAGCAGATAAACGTCGCCGACAACTGCAAAATGCGCAAGGCACAAGAAGAAAACAGGGTGGTTTCACAAAGTGAGGAGTACGCCACACAGGCCATGCCTTTTGAACTTACGACGAAGTCGCAGCCAAAAACCTACGGCAAAATCTGACGTCAGCTTCCGTGCGAAAGACAAAGAGAGCGGAAAAGAGCCGAATCGTCGGCCATGTAGAGCGGAACATATGCGACAAGGCGAAAACCACGCCCAGTACAGTGGTTTCCACGCCATGGAGTAGCTGTGGTGAGCGAGACGGGGACGCAAAGGCATTCAAACACGACTGAACCGGCTAAACCCTCGGCCCGAAACAGTAAACGCCCAAAACCCTAAGCCGTGCTTACCTGTCAGGACCGAAGCCAAAGCTCCGAACCAATGCATCCCAAACGCCTTCTCATTGCAAGCCAAACTGCCAAACCCCGACCCAAAAGCTGTGTGAATGTTCGGGCCGACCTGACGGAAGTAAAGTGTAACCTTACAGCTCATGGATCATTTCACTAAACCCTAAACCCTAAACCCTAAACCCTAAACCCTAAACCCTAAACCCTAACCTTACAGCTCATGGATCATTTCCCTCGCATGGAAGCCAAGGACTGAACTCAAGGTCTTCTGTCGGAGGACCTGGTTCGGGTTTCGGGTTTCGGGTTTCGGGTTTAGGGTTTAGGGTTTAGGGTTTAGGGTTTAGGGTTTAGGGTTTAGGGTTAGGGTTTAGGGTATCTCTCTTGTCTGGCCTCTTGCGCTCCAGATCAGACGGTTTCTGCCGGGCGATGCCGATGTAAATGGGACCTCTTGGGTAGTTCTCTAAATTAGGGTCCCCCCAATATAGTACGGCACACTTATAAAAAGGACCCGAAAAGGGACCCTAATTTAGAGAACTACCCCTCTGCTAATTCGGCCCATGTCTGTCTCCGCTAGCCTCGCCAGACCCCCACGCGGGTTCTCCTTAGTTGCTGTACAAGGCTTCTTGCGGGAGCAACCGCTTAGTCCTAGATGAGGGTCGTTACATGTCGTTAGTTCACAGAATTTGGAAGACCCTAAACCCTATGAGCCCTAAACCCTAAACCCTATAAACCCTAAACCCTAAACAGCTTTGCAGGACCAATCTGATTGGCTTCTGTGACCACCCATCAAAGCCACATTGCACCGCGGGTCACGTGGTGAATGCTGTGAGCTACAGTCAGAACCAGGCGGGCCTTTGTGGTTTAGGGTTTAGGGTTTATAGGGTTTCGGGTTTAGGGTTGAAAAGGGTTCAGGGTTTATAGGGTTTAGGGTTTAGGGTTTCGGTTTATAGGGTTTATAGGGTTTAGGGTTTAGGATTTGCTGCGACATGTCAGCCACACTTCTCGGTATAGCTTCATGGCAGTTTTGAATGTATGGCTACAAATGCATGCGCCTGCAATTAGCTTATATATGTGCCTGTGGCTACTTGCAACTGTTTTTGGGGTTCGGGTTCAGGAGGGAGACGACAGAGTTCGAAAGTTTTGCTGGGTTGATTTTAAGGCCAGCGCCTTGTAACTCCAAAAGGTTTCAATGGGAGGTTGAGGGGTTAATAATAGAAGCATGAGTGCTTGCTTGTATATTTTTCCTTCGGATACCTTGTTCCAAGATCATATTCTAGCTACCAAGGCCCCCTAAATCACGTCCACGATGCCGAAAACCAAACATTCCGATGGCCCCCTAAACCCTAAACCCTAAACCCTAAACCTCTGAACTGCAGTTCAAGCTGGGCTGCTGTCGCTTCCTTTGGCCCATGGGAGCATCCTTGTTGGCTTATGGCCGGGTCGCGAGACCGTGGCGTGGCTGCAGTTTCAAGTGAATCCAAGGTTCCCAAACTGGGTTCTCGTCCACCATATTACTATTATTGTAACTTCCTTTAAATCCGGTAGCAAGAACTCAGCAAAGCAAACACTGTCCATAGTGGCAGGATTGATGTACAAGGTTGCAGCCTCGGGGTGAGTATTGGTGAGTTGATTTGGCTGATCACGAAAAGACACGGATGCACCCTAAACCCTAAACCCTAAACCCTCAACCCTAAACCCTAAACCCTAAACCCTAAACCCTTTTCAACTGCAAGATGAAGGTCTGCGATCTTTTCTTCCATCTGCAATGCCCCATAGCGTAAGGCTGTAAAGCGTGACGGTTATGCTTGTTTAAGGTTTAGGGTTTAGGGTTTAGGGTTTAGGGCTTATTGTGCTCCCATGTTTTCCGGTTTCTCAGCAAACCCTGAACCCTCAACCCTGAGTCCTAAACCCTAAACCAGGAACCGTTTGAGTGCAGCCAGGTATCTGAGCTTTGAGGGCTACTACTGCCCCACGCAAATGGGCTCCACAGGCCAGCCACCTGGGGCGCACACTTTCCAGCCGGTCAGGGGTATCAGCCAAAGGCTTTTTAGGGTTTCGGGAGTGAGTAGGAGTGAGGGCCAACTCTGAACCCTAAACCCTTAAACCGCGGTCACCTCGCAGGCTCACCGCTCTACGGGAAGACTCCGATGGGAGCTCTTGGTGAGCCGGGCACCTCCTCGGATTTTGATTTCACGCTGTCTTGGGACAAGTTGCTGGGCTGCACACAAGGTCAAGGCGCACGAACTTTGGGTGTTGCAGGCTTAGTTTCTTTTCCCCTCGAAACAGCTCTGACTGTCCATGCATGCAGGTTTCTAGTCGCAGGGTCTTCCGGTCTGATTTGGGATTTGGGTCTTGAACTTGCTTTGGTGGCAGGATTTGATGTCAGGTGCCAGGATTCGCGTTATAGGTTTAATGCTGAGCACGCTCGGGATCGTTCAGCCTTTCAAGTTTCTTCGTGTCACAGGCAGAGGGCATACCAACCTCGGGGGACGAGTGACGCCAGGTGCACTATCATCAAGAAACAAGGCATCACTAAAATCTTAGTCTGTCGACGAGGTGCTTGAGCTGCTGTTCCATGGTTCTTCCGCGGGCTACTACAGACCAAGTCGGTTGTAGGAGCCTTGCATCGCCAAGGTTCAGTGGGGATTGGAATCTGCGGAAAGGGACGGACACGCTGTATGCAGTCCACAGCAACGCCCTCTCGCCCACAGAGACGCTTTGCTCGCAACACAGGGCTAGCCATCTACAGGTTGTTCGGGGTCCAGGGGGTTCAAGCATTTGTCTGAACCCTAAACTAAACCCTCTAAACCCTAAAGCCTACACCCTAAACCCTAAACCCTAAACCCTAAACCCTAAACCCCAAACCCCAAACCCTAAACCCCAACTCCTAAACCTTGTTTGGGTTTCAGTTTTCAGTCAGAGGGCTGCGGGCTGAAGTAGCCTCTGTGCTAGTCGTGGTTGGAGGTGGCGGCCACAGCTACTTGGAGGTTCATGGGTAGTTATAAGTACGCTTATAAGTAAGGTAACTATACTTATAACCCAAATTAGGGGACTTATAACCCCACTTGCAACTACCCATAAACCCTAAACCCTATAGAACCCTTTACAGGAACCCTTAAAGGAACCCCATAAACCCCACTTACAACTACGCATGAACCTCCAAGTATTTGCAGTCACCTACACAGCGGAGACCTGGGTGCTGCAAAAGAGTAGCGATCTTCTGATGCTCAAACCTTTGCCCTAAACCCTAACAGGGTTTAGGGTTTAGGGTTTGGGTTTAGGGTTTAGGGTTTAGGGTTTAGGGGATTAGTCGTAGCTGAATTTGATGTTGCAGCAGAAGAAGCAGGATGAGAAGGAGTATGAGCACGAGGAGGAAGGGGCGCAACGGCGTCAGCAGCAGCAGCAGCAGCAGCAGCAGCAGCAGCAGCAGCAGCAGCAGCAGCAGCAGAAGAAGCCGAAACAGCAGTGGTGATAGTAGGAGTAGGAGCATGGGCCGGAGTTGTAGGACGGTTGTTCTGCTGCTGCGGCGGCGGCTGCTGCTGCAGCTCTTCCTCCGTCTTGCCTCCACTCGAAGATTTGGTGGGAGGGTTTCAGACTCACTGAAACGTCTCCATCTTCAACCTTAGACTTTACACTTTTAACTATACCATGCCTTCATAATGTTAGGCACAGGCGACATCTTCAAACGACATCTGCGCAACATCAGACGCATACCCTAAACCCTAAACCCTAAACCCTAAACCCAAAACCCTAAACCCTAAACCCTAAACCCTAAACCCCAAACCCTATTAGTCTAAAGGATCCTCAACGGCCCCTTCTCGGCAACGTCCATCACGTCCCTGACGTCGGAGACGCAGCCGGAGGCCTGATTTAAGGTGGAGTGCCATCGGATTTTCAGGGTTTAGGGTTTAGGGTTTAGGGGTTTAGGGTTTAGGGTTTAGGGTTTAGGGTCAAAGATTGGAGCCAATTGGGGCCCGGTGCACCTCCAGAATCTGTCATCCTTTTGAAAAGGATGACACTGCTCCGAAGCCAGCTAGGTACATCTTACGCTACTCAGCCGCTACGCCAAGTTAGACATACTGTACTGTCAAAAAGTGCTTCTCGCAGTTAACATTGCGCTGTCGTTTGAGCTGCATCCAAGCATGTCAGTGCCCAACATCTATTCAACTTGCGAGCTTGTTTGGCATGATGCTCTGCATTGCCACTGGCTGTTGGGTACAGTAGGGGCCTAAATAATTACCTATACTTTTTTGGGGGTTCCTTACTATAGTTATCGTATAATCATGATGGGCCCCAAAACCCTATTCCAATTACTAAGGCTCCTATATTATGTGTTGATGAGCCTCGACAGTTTGATCTCGAGTCTTTGGCTCGAAGGCTTCCAAGTTAATTGCTGTGCCTTCTAAGCTTCGAAAGTCCAGCATCCGAATCCTAGAGGATGCTGCTACCTGCTGCCAAACAGAAGTCTGTTTATGATTGTGCACAATTAATAGCCACGCACTCCGTTTCTGAGAAAGGCCCAAAGGCTCCGCAAAGCGGGGCTTTAGCTGACTTCCTGTAACGAAGCCATGCGGTTTCCTCCCCTGAGGCGCAGAGGAAGCGTTCTCCGAGGAAGCCCACGTATCCAACGCTGCAGGACGCCCCGGGTCGCCAAAGCTTCTCCACCACCGCAAAAGACTGTAGGGGCCTGAATAGCTACCAACAGTGATAGTGGTCCTTGGGGTTCTTCCTTTGGTTCGAATATATATATATATATGTGTATATATATATATACATACATATATCTCTCTCTCTATATCTATCCCCCAACCCTATTCTAATTATCACCGCCCCTACATTACAACCCTGAGGAATTCACAGCTACAGAGCCCGACTACAAGAAATACTGCAACCCACCCAAAACTCTAAACCCTAAACCCTAAACCCTAAACCCTAAACCCTGAGGAATTCACAGCTACAGAGCCCGACTACAAGAAATACTGCAACCCACCCTAAACCCTAAACCCTAAACCCTGAGGAATTTACAGCTACAGAGCCCGACTACAAGAAATACTGCAACCCTAAAACCCTAAACCCTAAAGCCCTAAACCCTAAACCCTAAAACCCTATTCAGTCCTCTGGCCCTAGGAGCCTCTAATCCCCTAGAGACGCTTGTAGACCCCTTCAAA